TATATATATCATTTCTGTTAATATATTTACGTGTGAGAACTCGTATGTACATCTCAATCTGTTCTCATACTTTGGATTTACAACCAGGTCCGACGTAAGCGACTGGCCAAACTAGAGGCATCCAGCTCAGGGCGCTCTGCTTCTCCGGTAACTCCGAATGTTGAGTCCTCGGTTGTCAAGGCTGAACCATTGGTTGCTAAGGATGAGTCATCGGAATTTAAAGATGCGGTTGTAAAGGCTGAACCTTCTGTAGCTAAGGACAAGGTTGCTGCTGTGCAACCGGCACCAACGGTGCGTAGTGGGAATTTTAGGCATGCTCGGAACCGACCACTCTCATATCACTGTCATCTTCATTGTATGGCATTTTTACGCATGCTCAGAACCGGCCACTCTCATATCACTGTCATCTTCATTGTATGGCATTTCACCTCCCCATTGTCTGACGTCTGGTGCTTCAATTCGATGTCTGATTAGAATTGAATGTGTCAGTACATCTCCAAATCCAACCTCCCGGGTTCTCTTTTTGTCCTTACTCGGTGAGGCTTTCAATTGGAGAGTCACCGCCAACGCACATTCTATTTGTCACCACAGTCTATGTACACCATCACGATGAAACGTAGTAGACGAGCGCTAGTGCCTCTCATCTATACAATCTGACATGGTGTCATATACTGAACTCTCGATTATATTGTGCGTGATCCATATTTGTTAGGTCGATGCGCCCAGCAAGCCTGCCCAGAAAGCCGCTACAGCCGCACCGCAGATGGTTAAGAACGCTATGCACAGGTGGGTTTATGGAATAGGTTGAGGGGGTGGGTGGCTTTAGGATGTAGGGTGCATGTACTATGGTTGTAGGTATGGTGTGTGGTTGTGTTACATTGGGCCACTATTCTTGTATTGGACTTGGTTTAGATGTAGTCACGCAAGGGGAAGCTGGGAGAGGCTGTTGGTTGGGGAGTGAGAACTTCGGGTGTTTAGGGCGACAGGTGTGTTGCAAAACCGGACACTGCTCTGAGCATTACTTGTACTTTAAATACATCTGTGGGTAGTTCGTCCTAATGGTTTCTATACAAGCCGTTGAATTGAAGACTTGACTTAAAACTAAATCTTTGGTTTAATTTTACATGAATCTTTCTGGTGAAGCATATATTTTATACGCATTATCGTTCCCATGTTTAATTATGGCAATGAGATCGTAGTCTTTGATAGGCGGCAATCCTACAGAAAAAGTGATCTACAACTATACTGCCTACTGTATGTATATATATATATATATATATATATTTTCAAAGAAATGTACAAAGTAAATAAGGAATTTGGTCGGGATAACTGCCATGTTTATCAAAATAATTCGTCTTCTAATCAATATGATATTACTTTACAAGTTTGGACTTATTCCGCCGTTCCAAAATCTGGTTGTACCATTGTCAGCTCGGCTGAGTTTAGGAAAACCCATCAATCAAAATAATTTTGATTCTGGCTAGTTAGTTCCAAGCGCCCTGACAACTATTTCTAGATCAGCATGGACACTAACATATCATAATCGTTCTATCAAAGAATAGCCAACACAACATTTATAGTTACTGCCGACTGTGGGCTTCGCCCGATCCTGTCCCAGATTTTGGCTTTCTTCACATATGTACTATGATATATAGTAAGTGGGTTTAAATAACTAAATGTAAGCTTGTCTGTTTTATTTTATTGGATCTTGGTCGTAGGGATATATGTATTATACTCAATATGAAGTGGACCCATGTACCACTGGCCAATCCTTCAGGCACAGCAGAGGATATGAGTGACCTGGAGTCGGAACTGCAAAAGGACAGGGGTATGCTCCGTGCCAACAATTCCACATATGCATATACTATATCTATTTACACACACATATATATATATATATGTGTGTGTGTGTGTGTGTGTGTTTGTGTGTATATTTATATATTTATATATTTATATATTTATATATTTTATATATTTATATATTTATATATTTATGTATTTATATATA